GTCAGGTACCTTTAATCGCCACATGCAAGGCGGTCCCATTCCACCCACATATTTATCCACCCAAGAGCGACAGTTAAAGTCAAATTTAAAAGAGTTTTTATTTTTACTGCTCGCTAACACTTTCATATCAAACTGCCAACTTTGTCACGAAAGAGTGAGCACTGTACAGTGTATGCTTACTGGTTCTAAAGTTCACCGAAAATATACTTTTAAAAATTAATAACGGTTACTCCTGTACTAGTCGCACGGTCATACGGTGGTGAAATGTAGCCGCTGCTGCTATATAATTTCTCCCACGACGGGAACTGTTTCGGGCCTCAGCACGCCCTCGTCAGCATAACTGTTTTATCGCACGCGTATATTTTTTTCTCCCATAAGCGACAGTATTTCCTCCTTAAAATCCGTCAAATCGCATTCATACTTCCATGGTTTGCAAAAACTGCCAATAAAGTTTTTCACCTTCTTTTATTTATGACTTTTGTTCCACCTCATTGGCTCGTGTCATTGGCATAGTTCCATAGTTTGCAAAAACTGCCAATAAAGTTTTTCACCTTCTTTTATTTATGGCTTTTGTTCCACCTCATTGGCTCGTGTCATTTGGCATGACCAATAGGCTCAGGTATTTCGCTGAAGTTAAGGCTAAGAAGCTTTAACCCTAACGGCTGCGATCTTCCAGGCCCGGATCCTTGGGAGATGGAAGAGAAGTCTTGGGAAGGCCAGGGTAGTAGGAACAATGTATTGTGTACACAAGAGTTAGGAGAAGTCTAAACTGCCGGAGTGCACGTCTAGCTGCCGGGCGAGCTTGGTCCGGAGTGATGGCTAGCGGTAGCCTCGGCCTTGAAGTCTGTCCAGACGGACTAAGGTCACGCCACTGTTGGTTGAGGCCAGAATGGGGGAGACACGGTGAGTGCGTTCGCTCGCGTGTCAGTTTGCGTCTGGTCGAGACATGCCGAAAACTGCCTTCATGGGAGGTCCTGTGCTCTGAATAACCTCGTCTGTGGCATCACGAATTAGGAGGGCAGAAGCGACCACTACACGTACTCTTCCTAAATTTGTAAATGCAGAAGTTATCTCCTCTGTAATATCTTTTTGTGAACTAATTTCAGCTGGTCTATCTGTAAAGATTTGACACACTCCCTCGTATTAAATGTTACATTACGTGCATGTAGACAAAGTGGGAGTCTAAAGGTGCACACGTA